CGATGGGCGATAATAAAACCGATATAGTAATGCTTAAGTGTCGGTCGGCCGTCTAATGCAATGATTGCTGTAAATTAAAAATGCCACAAATGTTACGCACAGATATTTGTCGTAAGGCCCCACTGCTTGATATGCTGGGGCCGGCAATTGAGGGCCTAGAGCTAGAGAGCCAGACAGAACATACACTGAGAGAAACTGAGGAAAAGCAAATCGAAATAATATATGAGAAAGAGAGAAAGAGGGGATATATGTATATAAGAATAATTCTGTTATAGACAGCATACACTGAGTGAAAATACAAAATGAAAAGAAGAAAAGATTTCAGGCGCAGTTCCTTTCTGCTTTGCTGGGAAAGTCTACACTTGGAGAAATCGAGGATTGGGGAAGAGAATGGTAAAAGAAGGAATGAAAAAGTTAATCCCCTTCAACTTATGTATTTATATCGCTATAAACATAAGACAACTCGTAAGAATCCTCTCAGTGTATGTGGCTGGCCGCCTCGCTTATATGGGCTACTTGATGTTCGCGGTGAGCCCGAAATAGAGGCCTATAGACTGTCTGACTGCCAGCGCTGACCACGTGCTGCTTCAAATAATAAACTTTATATTAACACATACAAAAGTCATACGCTTCGACGTTGGCCAGAATTTTAATCACTTAATTAGGCAGTCGTCGGCCAGTCGAACAGTGGAACAGTCGCCCCCGAACTTTGTTTATGGTCTGCCCCAGACCATAACCAACCAAAGCGGCCAATGATGAATGGTACGAAAACTATGCAGGATCGGACAATCCGACAAGTTGGAGCGATCGACCGATCGAGCGATCGAGCGATCAAACTGCCTGCAAAAATATCGTTTACGAGCTTTGTAAAATGTGGCTATGTCAGAAAAGTTGACGCCTTAACGGACGACAATAAACAATGAACTGAACCCGAGAGAGCAACGCATGTCATCAATATGCATGATGAGCTGCTCGGGAGCGGGACCAGGGCGGGCTGGGCAGAGCCAGCAGCGCACGCCATTGTGCGTTTAGTTTTTTTTCAGTCTCTTTTCTTGGTCTTAACTGCCGCCCGATCGCATTCCGATGCGTGTTTTGTCGTCATTGTTTCTAAATTTATTTTTATAGTTTATTAAACAGTCAATAGTGAGCCACAAAGCCAGCCAAAATTATACACCAAGTGCAGTGTGACGAATCCATAATAAATGCCCTGGCGAACATCAAGTGAAGCAACGCGATGCAATTGAGAAATAATCGATTGAATTAGTTAATATGTCTATGTCTTTAAAAAAAAAATAAAGCTACAAATTTCACTCTGAGCCAATTCTTTTCTCTTAACACACATAAAGCTTGTCCATTTAACGACTTTTTAATCAATTTTGTTGGAAATAGAGCTATATATCAAGTCGCAGCTGTACGAAATGTATAGCTGGGCAAGTTCGTTGCCTAAGTCTTTTGTCTCAATGATAGTTATTTCTCTTTCTCTCTGTTGTTTCGCTGCTTCAGCTGTCAAACTGAAAAAGTGGTTCATTTGTATCATTGCTCCAATCTCTCCAATCAAAAAGCCATTTAGAGAACAAAAGACAAACATAATAAAATCGATGCGACATGGAAAACAAACGAGAATACAAAAAGAAAAACCA